GTACAGGCTGACAAGCACAGGTCTGAAAGACAATTTCAAGTGGGAGATTGGGTATGGCTCAAACTGCAGCCATACAGACAAACCACAGTGCAAGCAAGGACTAACCAAAAATTAGCTCCCAAGTTCTATGGTCCATTTCAGATATTGAACAAAGTGGGGCCAGTGGCGTACAGACTGCAACTTCCTCCATCAGCCCAAGTACACCACACTTACCATGTGTCCCAACTCAAAGCCTTCAAGGGAGCACTGCCAAAACAACCGCATATACCAGGATGGCTACAAGGCAGAGATGTAGCTGAAATTTTGAAACCTGCAGCAATCTTAGAAAGACGAATGATCAAGCAAGGTGGAAGAGCTGTTGTCCAATATCTAGTGCAATGGGAAGGGCAGAATGAAGAGGATGCATCTTGGAGGGATTCCAAGGACATGGAACAAAGGTTTCCTGAGTTTTTCTGTTGATGGAGTATTGTCACTGTAGTTGTGAGTAGTTGAATAAAGGCCTCCTCTTTAAGGGGGAAGGAATGATACAGGCCACGTGTGTGTGTGGTTAGAAACGGTTAGTCAGTTAGCTAATAACAGGCCTTTATATACTTGTATTGATAAGGGAGATGAAATAAGAAGATATTTTTGGTCTTTCTCTTCCACATACTCTCGTTTCTCTCTCTAGAATCTGTGATCAGGGTCCATCTATGATCTTTTGCGCTCATCCTCGAGGATTCTTCTCCATTTCCGAATCCTCCTGTTCTGAGCGTCATCAGTTTGAGCATCTAATCGCCTTTCTAATTCAATGATTCATGATATTTGACTTTTCTTTTGTTTGAATCAATTCTGTTTATAAAGTTTGGTGGAATTTGTTCATCAACTGGGTTTGAAATTTGATTCCATGGCAGCATTTGTGGCCATTCCTGAATGTTTTTCTTGTATTTGTTTGAGAAACCTATATACTTCGTATGTATGAAATCACTAGCTTTGGTACTGGCTTTATTCTGGTTTTAAGGTGGCTTAATACTAGCCATGTACTTCGTGTTTGGTTTTCAACATCTAGTATTAAGATGGATGTTTTTTGTTTTGGTTTTGGCAGCTAGGTTTTAGAGGTATGCTTTTTAATTTTCAGCATCTGGATTTTGGGGGCTTGATTTTTGTTTTCGGCTACTAGTTTCTGGGATAGTGGTTTTCTCTTGTCGTCCACTTGTGTTTGTTTTCAGCAACTTGCTTTTGGGGGATGGTTTTTGGTTTTCGGGTACTGGTTTTAGGTTTTCAATATCAGGCTTTTGGGTTTTAGCAGCTGGCTTTTGGGTGGGCTGGTTTATGGTTTCAATTTGAAAAGTTGAATGAGGAGCTGATTTTTAGGCTTGGTTTAGAGAAGGATTGTGCTTGTGTATATGTTTTGGGACATAGACCACATTAGGACCCCCCTATACTTCTTTCATACATTAGATTAGGACCATATTATGATTGTTAATCAGTAAATGAAGTGGATAACTTTTGATGGCCCAAGATCCTTCAATTTGGGTAGCCAGTGTAGTTCCTTTAAGTAGATAAAAACAGCAGGTTGCTTGGGTCTAAGATAGCCTAAAATCAATGAGATTATAGATCATTATAACCGACATAATTCATACGATGTATTATTTCTTGTTAAGTACACATCTTAGAAGCAAAGTATCTCCAAAGGCAATACTTATCACATCAAAACACCTAGCAGCAGAAAGCTAATGCAGCCAAGAGTTTGATACCAAAAAAAAGAATGCCTTTCCACTATGCACATGACATTAAACTTTCCTAACCACAAAGAAATCATGAATACTATTTAAATTTGAGACATTCTTACTTGCAAGTGGCACAGAGATTTATCATCAATTAACTGAAAAGGGTTTGTTCCTCCATAGCGCTGAAATTACGATGCAAACGAAATAGAAAGTAAGCGTATGAATAGACAGCACTACATTAAAATTGCCTAGGTGGGTCTGCCCAGGTCTGTTCTTCACCCCCTTTTGCTGCTCTTGTAACTGCTGCTGCTACAAAGGGCTGAACATGATGGTGGGAAGGGTTTGCAAAATGGAATAATCCATCATCTATACACCCAGGAAGAGCTCCAAACAATACACGCTTTAGGGATAGTCTTGGCTACCAAACCTCAATCGTGCAAAAGACACATGCATTATTGAACTCATCTCTACTTATTCTTATGTTCAGCTGCCCAGGTCACCCCCCATGCCGCCTAAGATACGACTCACCGTTCATTAGGGCTTTATGGCAGCCAAGTGTGCCCTCACCGCCCACTAAACTCAGGTCTCCAAACGGGGGGGAAGAAGGTCGTGCATCTATTCATCGAAGGGTACAGGGACAATAAATTGCAAGCTCCATTAAAAGATTGGCATCTGAAAACGTGTTTGTTATCCAGGTTTGTTTGCAAATCCCTTCATTTTGCATTTCTTTTCATTTTTCTTCTTCGGGGTTGTTTCATATTGATTCAGAGTATTTATTGACAACAGAGTATTTGTTTACGTGGTGTGCATGGATCGTTTGACCATTTTTAGAGAAGAGTTCATGGATCGTTTGGACCAGATATAATCCTCAGTCCTCAAAGTATGAAATGCCATTCTTAATTACTTAGTAACATGGACTGTGCCATATGACTAAATTGAGTCTAAAATGCCATTCTTAATTAACATGGACTGTGCCAAATGACTAAATTGAGTCTAAATTGCATAGTTGCTAATCAATTTGAGAAGTATAGTCTAAAGACTAATCACAAATTAGATATTAACTATGTTTTGTTTTTTGTTTTTTGTTTTTATTTTTTGCCTAAGTTTGTTTCTTTATTACTGTTCAGATGTTAGCTAACAAAGTAGAGACACTAACAAAAGCTATGGAAGTTGAGGCCAAAATGATGAGAAGGGAGGTTGCTGCAATGGAAAAAGAAGTATCTGCTGGATTAAGCTGATTTTTTTAAATAAATAAATGCTTTGTTTCGTTCCACAGGAAGCCCGTTATGTAGTTGGTGCTGAGTGCTGTAGGTGGAAGTTTGCAGAATTTCACAAAACATTGAGGGAAAAAGGGATAGTCAAGCCATTTACTGGTCTCTGAGGATGTGAGTAACAGCTCTCCCCCTTTAGATTTCCTTTAACATAAACTATGTAATTAAGAAGTATGAACTTTGTCTCAGTGGTTGATAGCTGCTGGATGTTTCACCTTTGGTCTTAAACATATATGATTATATGCTTTTATGTGATTCTGCTAAATCTAAATGTTTAGTGGAAATTACCTTTTAGTCTTAAACATACATGCTTCAATTCATTGGGTTTGGATGTAGTGTTGAACTTATTGTTTTATCTTGTTGTTGCAGACTTTTAGATGTTCGCCTTTGAAAATAGCAAAGAAGGGAACATTCTATTCGTAGCACACCAAGATGACACCTTTCATGTCCAGACAGACATCTTTGAACTAAATCTTTAGTGAAGCCATGGAATCCATGCGTCATCCAACATAGTACGGATCGGAGTACCTACTTATTTTATAAAGCAACCATATACTACTTTTTCTTGAGTTTGATCATTTATATACTACGTATTTGCATAGGCTTGTTCAGTGTCTATAAGGTCTTAGAACCGAATAATTTTTGTTATTTCTTTTATATTATGTAGATCTTTTTTAAATCTTGGAGGGGCTTTGGTTTGGCCCTCCCCTCCCATTGTACATCTTTTCTCATTTTAATAAAATTTTCTTTAATAAATGCATAAATTAATGTGTGTGTCCTTGTCTCTCTCTCTCTCTCTTTATGCGTGTGTGTGTGTATATATTAATGACGGTATATATAATTATAAAAAATATATAATTCTTATTACTAATAATTGCATTGATGACGGGATTTTTTGTCATAAAAAAAGCATTTTAATGTAGGTAAAAATACTCTTATTAAATAATTTTAATGAGAGGACTTGTAACCCGTCATTATTTGTAATTAGCTACGGAGGCTAAAATGACGGTCGATGAGTGTAAATTTCCTCTCATTAAAATGTTTTAATGACAGTTTTTTGTGTTTTAACTACGGATTGTACTCACACTATAGAGCATTTTTCTTGTAGTGGATTAACCCGATCAGATGGCTGACCAAGAACGTAATATGGATCAGAAAGATATATTCACTCAATAATGTTCTCTAATTAAGTGTATAATTGCTTGAGGTCGTCCCTTTATAATGGCGGGTTCTTTCCCCTTTTATAGTACTTCTAATATTGTAATTAAAATTATACATAATGGGAGAAATTATGGAGATCATGGGGTTGTGATTCTCTCTTCTCCGGTCCTATTCTCTTCCCATCTCGTCCACAACCTGGTGGTGCGGGCCACGTGTCCCGTTCCTTCCTTGGACTGGGTCGTCTTGATCTAGCCTATGATTGGGCCGTCCTTTTCCCATTCGCCATGCGTGTAGTAGCGGGCTCGGCCCGTTACCCCTACTTGGCCTTATCCATCTCGCGCTATTATGGGCCTTTATTGGGCCTGGAGTCGGGTCCATCAAACCCGATATCCATCACAAGCTGTAACACCCCAATCCGTATAACCCAGAATTACACAAATTAAGGTGAAACGAGGGTTAAATAAAAATTTCGCTTGACATTTGAAAATGACAATTACTTGTAAATATTAAAGTTACAGACTCTGGATCGCGACCCATTTAAAAATATTTTCAGAGTAATGCGGAAGTACAATAATAATCAAATCATGACACATTTTAAAATCTGTTGACCAAACATTGCCTGCCATCCTTGCATCTCCTCTGACTCAATGCCCTCTGGGAAAGGTTCCATCATTGTCTTCTTGTTACCTACGTGTAGTCAACGAAAAATACAAACTACACGCTCAGCGAAACCGCTGAGTGGTACCACGCTAGAATTGTAGAATAATTCAGAGACGTATACATATACATATATGTACGTCCACAAATGTATAATAATATTCATGATATGGCACATTATATCATATGGTCAATTTGATGATTCATGATGATAAATATTTAATAATAATTACATGATGGCACAATTAATCAATTTGCTTGTGAGGATGATTACATGATACTCATATAATCAATATACTTGTTCTTGATGATGATTACATGACATTTATGTAATTGATGTACTTGATGATGATTACATGACATTTATGTAATTGATGTACTTGATGATGATAACATGATGCGTAATTGATGTCACACATAGTCATGATGATTTTACTTGAAGATGACTTCATGCTGTATGATTCTAACGAGCAAGGACACCCTTGCGCTATGAGATTCGCCCATTTGGTACGACGAACTCACGCGGCCTTAGTCTCTCAAGGGAGACTAGAAAGTAGGGGTGGTACTCGAAGTTTGAATACCATGTACGTACACTAAGCCCGGAACGGTGATGTCGGACTAATAAGTCCCGCACATCACGCTACAAGAGACGCACTTCCGCCTGATCTCTTGCGCATGCACATGATGTGATATGCTTCAATATGGATGATGGAATGAATGACATGATGTGAATAGTTTGCAAACAATATGAATATATAATCATGCATTAATTTATTTGGATGAAACATGATTAAAATATTATTTAAATAAGTTACGGGGCTCGGAACGGTCGACCGTTTGCATCGACCGTTTGGGTCTGCGAATCTATCTCTTGATATTTTGAGTATCCAAAATTACTTCTTTAAGTCTTTTAAACACCTTTGATTAATATATACATATTTTTTGGTTGATTTCAAATGCTTATATATACTCATGTATTTACATAATAACTTTATGGATTTGGTGTATTATGGTTTTAACACAAAGATGACTTATATATGCACCACACATATATTTTGGGATGATTTCAACAAATGGATTAACATATATGTTCATGTACGCATGTGTTGAATGATTCGACAAGTCTAACGCAAAGGTACAGACTTGGAAATCACCGGCCGAAACCTTACGGATGAGTGGGAGTGGAAACAACATCGAAATTTGCCAACTTTGTGATTTCCGTCACAACTGGACAGCTTGCGGTAATTTGGGCATATCTCCATCGTTTCTTCACGGAATTGCAAACCGTTTGATTCTGTGGATTTCTAAGATGTAAGGCTACAACTTTCGTATAGAAAGTATTTCGTTTTAACATATGTAAGATAGCGTAAATCAGACCTGAAGTCAAGGGATAGTTGCTGTCCAGAATTTCGGGTATGTCGATAAACATGATTCCGACGATTAACTCACTAACTTCACGTTCCAATGCCGAACTTTCTCTACGATACCTTCCGGATGTTCCTAATAATTGTTAGAGAGTTTATGGTAAGTAGTTGGGATGAAATAATATGAATATGGTGAGGAAACATAGCCAATCCCGAGGAGCTCACCACCACTGGCGGAGTCCCGGTATTTTGGTCATATCTCCTTCGTTACTTAACGAAATAACGAGCCGTTTGTTGGGCTGGAATTGTATCGTCCGGGGATACGATTTTGGTATAATAATTAATTCGAGAAAATGAATAGAGAATTACAGAATTGACGACGAAGTCGCTGCTGCGTTTTTCACTCAGGATTATGGAACTTTTGGTACTTCTTCTTGCTCCTTCTTCTTCTTCTTGGCCTAACAATGGAGTTGAGAATTCTTTTCTCTTTCCTTGAAGCCTGGCCGACAGAGAGAGAGGGTGAAGGGAGAGTGATTGAGGGTTGTGATGTGTAGGTTTGACAAAAATGGAGGAGGGGTTAATTTAATGCACTCCACTTTTGGAGTTATTATGTGTGGAGGAAATTAGTGGATTTAGGGTGGCTAATTGATACTCCCTCCGTCTAGGAAAGATGTTCCCACTTTGAATTTTCTTCATTTTTAAGAGGCATTGACTAAAGGAGTAAATAGACAAAAATGCCCTCCACCCATCCCTACCCATCATACCCGCTGGAACTCACTGGCGGCCCAACACCCACCTCCGCTCCAGCAGACCAGCACCCACCACTGCCGCCGCCAACCCCACCGCCACCCCAGCCTCCAACACTACCGCAGATCTAACCGACCACTTGGTACCACTGCCAATCCCACCTTCTCTAACAGCAGCCGGTCGCCGCTAGCCCCCACCACCGCCGCCAGCCCCCACCACCACCGTCGGTCTGTCCCTCGCCGCCATCCCCCACCACCACGGCCAACCTCATCATCTCCACCAATACCCACATCTCCGTCATCCTCCACCACAACCGTCAGTCCCTCTATCGCTGCTATCCTCCTCCATCGCAGATCTGGAAGAAATCAAAGGCATACGAAGAAGGGAAGAAGAAGAAGGTGATTTTGTCACAGATTTGTTTAGATCTAGAAGAAAAATGGAGGAAAAGAAGAAGAAGATTGTGATGAGAAGAAGAACAAGGGGATCCGTGTGGATCGGAAAAAGAGCAGGGGAAGAAGAAGAAGAAGAAAAAGGAGGAGGAGGAGGATCGGTGAAAGAGAAGAAAAAGAAGGGAAGAAAACAGGGAAAAAGAGAAAGAATGGAAAGAGTGGAAGAGGAAAAAAGAAAAAGATGAGGAAGGATTCAACCGAAGGAAACAATGGAAGAAAAAAAAAGTGAAAGAAAGAAGAGGAAGAGGGTAGTATTGGAAGAATAGTAAAAAATAAGTAGAATGGGAACATCATTCCCGGACGAAAAAAAACGTAGAGTGGGAACATCATTCCCGGACGGAGGGAGTATAATTGAAGATATGGGCTGCGTGGTTGGAGATTTTGAGGAATAAAATTTATTCTCCTACTCCGTAACTGATAAACTGGCTAAAACGGTACGCGCTTTTTCGCCCAAACTGTTCCGATTTGAAAACGGGTCGCGTTTTTGGAATCAGACTGTCAAAACTAGAATTTTGATGTAATCAAAATATTTTTCTGAGAACTTTTATTTTTCTCAGTGTTCAGGTCTGTCTTAGTCATAAATTAATTTAACAATATGAATGAGATAAAAATATATGGATAAAATCCAAATGATTAATATGATGTTGTCAAGGGTCAAAATTATGATTTCTAATCTTATAAAATCACCTTTGGATTGAGTTTATTTTATGGGTCAAAGTTACACATTTTAATATGTAAAATCATCATAGCTTGAAATCTATAAATCAGATTGGTTCTTAAAATATACTGTTGGATTCGTCTCTTCGAGACATATCCATAAAATAACTTTTTAACAAAAAGTAATTATTTTGAAAATCCATTTATTTTTGGTCAAACATATAAATATTTCTTATTGGACAAAAATTACTTTTGTTTTATAATAAATTTTAGGCCATATTTTGTGGCGTTACACAAGCCCCTAGTTTTCTGGCGACGTGTCGCTAGAAAATTAATGATGAGCCGCCTTTGGTTTTCGTGCCGGATTAGAAACGTCGCACTCGAGTGCCTTCGGTCCCTCCTTTCAACGGATATAACCCCTTCTGGACTCGTCTTCTTCCTCCCTCGCTACCGAATCTTAACCCGACCCGAATTTTGACTGCAATTTCCCCCAAATTCTCGCTCCCTTCTCCAAAATGGCTCCTGCAGATCGCGCTACCTGGACCCATGAACCTTTTATCATCAAGGAGGATGAACTCCGAGGAGTGGCCGCACTTCTGGGTCCACCTTCCCGATGCCGTCGGGGGAATTGGTTTAACTCACAATTTAAACCCCCAGAAGTATATGGTCATGCATTACCATTCCGTGGAGAACGGGTTCAGATTACCCCTCCATGGTCTGCTCCACGACATCTGCCGCCATTTCGGATTCGCTCCTGGCCAGTTGACTGCCAATGCGCACAAGTATGTCGCGTCCTACATCTTGCGGTGTTGTACCCTGGCCAGTATTCTCGGTCCCACCGCTACTTTGTCATTGAGTTCCCGGTTCACAGCCCCTTAGATCTGCCGGGCGTCGTTCTCCGTAGTTCTATTTCCCGGACGAAGTTCGTTGCAGCACCCTTGGCGGAGGAAGTATATATACAATGTCTTGAGAGAGATAGGGGGTTTAATTCCACATCACTCCCTCCAAGACGCCAGGTTAAGCTGATTTCTACTACCCTCTGGGTCCTGACCCCATTCCATTTGAAGGGGTGTCTTCCCCTGAAAGGTTCAAGGCTCCTTCCGTCGTGGAATCCAACCCAGTCGGGAGCTCTTCTGGAAACCAGACCCAATGTGACTCCACCGCCTTGGCTATTCACAAGCCGGCTGCTGCCCCGGAGGCAGTTCCCATCTCTGCTATTCCCGGTCTTAGAAGGCCAACACCGTCTCAGAAACGGCCACGGGAAGGGGTCACCGATGATGATTTCTTTCCCAAAAAGGGTAAAGGTGATGGTACTTCTGCTTTGCCCAACCCCCTGACTACATCTTCTGGTACCAAGAGTACCACCCCTACTGCCGTATCTGGAGGTTTGGAGTTACCCAACCCAGATAGCTTAGATCGCGAGGGAGACGAACTTCTGGACCAGTTAGCACTCAAAAGACCTACGGTGCAGCCTCTGCCTGAGGTGAACGGTACCTCCTCACCAACTGCAACTTCTCCCCAAGGGGCTGAAGAAGGGGTTGAGAGGCAAAAGGAACCAGAGGCTCCCCCTACGAAAGAAGTTGGAGGATAGGTAGATACGGAAGCTCCCCCAGAGACGCAGAGAGAGAGACTTAGAAACAGCGGGGACCGGAGGAACAGCAGGAACTGGAGAAACAGCGCCCCACCATCACACCCCCGGCCGTCAACCTCCCCATCCGGCGCAAGTTCACGCCGCAAACCTACACTGCCTTCAGGGAGGGTTGGGCAGGCTTTTCTCGCAGTTTGAACTCCTTACAGGCCTCCCACTGTCTAGGCAAATCTAGAGAAGATGAGGGAATCAGTGCAGGGGCCCGCAATTCCCCAAGCACGCCCCGACTTGCTTGCCTTCAATGCTCTGCACTTAATGGAGCAGGTACTCTTCTTTTTCAAGAATCTCTTTATCTCTTTTTAGTTAACTCTTTCTTGACTTACTTTCCCCTTTCCAGGCCCAACAATCACTCCTCACTCTGACTAAGGAGTACTTGGGTGGAGCATTGTTGAGTCCAAAATATTCACTAATTATTCTCTACCAAATCAGTATTTTCGGGCATTAAAAAGTGCATTTTTACACTTAAATGATCATATTTGCATTCTAGGCATCATTTATAAAATATGTTCATAATGCACACTTTTCAGTTTATTTTTGAATATTATTGTTGTGGACCCAAATTTTCCTTGACAAAGGTTATTAGATATATCTTTGGAGCATGAAGTGTGGGCTTAAAATGTGAAATCAATCCAGTTGGGCTCTACCCCGACTTATGGTTTCAAAGGAAATCCAGGCCCAAGATGACAAAGCCAAAGGTCCACCTCAGAAGTTGAGAGAAGCTGCGTAAAAAAGGAGAAAAAGAGAGAGAGACGTGTGAGATAGAAGAGCCGAAGACTCCCTCTCCGGTTGGCTTCTTCAAGCATAGCTGGAGCCGGAGAATCCGCAACAAGAATTGCAACGCACAAGGAAGTCCTAATCGAAGACGGAAGAGACGAAGAACACCTATAAATTGAGGGAGGCGTTGCGAATAACATCACCACCACCGATAAAGAGTAAAAATCAGAGCTCAATCCAAAGGGTATGAACCCTAGGGGGTTCGGATCTTGCATCCGAAACCCCCTTTTGTTATTGTAGTTTTCCTTTTTTTACGACTTAGTTGATCTTTCTTTTCAATTTGGTTTCCTTTTGTTCTGTTCTTGATTTTTCAATTTATCAAAACTTCTACTTGAGAGTTACTTTGTTTTGCAAAAAATAGTGTGAAGGGAATTTGTCATAAGTGCTGCGAATAGAGATTTTTATGGTGGCTGTGTTGTTTTAAAAGGAATCCTTTGGGATAATGTTCTTCCTTTTTTGTTTACTGATCATTACTTATGAATTTATGATATGGCTTTTGGGAAGTAAACATTACTTTAAGGTTGAAAGTTATTGGCATAGTTTCGTAGCAAATTTATGAAGCAGGTTCTTGGACTGTTGTGTTTGTGCTGTCTAGGAAATAATTTTCAAACCCCCCCTATCTTTTAATTTAGTTTATAGATTTTAGATAGTTGTTTTCACTCAATAAAAAGTGACAAAGTAAACCGATTTTCATAGCCTAAAAATGTCTTTCTTCGTGGGATCGACTCTTACTTATCCTATCTATAGATTTAATAAATATTATTTTTACAAGAAGGAATTAAGTAAAGGAAAAGAATAAATTAATTTGTAGGTGCTACGACACGCCTAACAAATTTTGGCGCCGTTGCCGGGGAAAGATTATTTTATATATATATATGAGAATTGGTTTGCTTATTGTTTAAAAACAGAAAAAACACTTAAAAAAGGTCTTTTTTACTATGCTGGTTATTATAGCTTAATAAGTCAGTTTTTTTAAAGTCTAAGTCAATCCCTAGGTGCATTTGTGTCTTGTTTGTAATCAGTTTGTTATGAGTCCCTACGTTTTTTTTCTTGGCCAACCTTTTACTAAAAAAAATATAAATCAGTTTTTAAAATCAACCTTTTTCTCCACTAAATGCAGATTTTGAACAAATAAGGTTCTGGGAGCTTAAAATTTTTTAGGAAAATGATGTTAAAAGGAGTTTCTAGTCCAAGTTTGATCAAAATATTTTTATATTGTTAACTAGTAACAATTAGAGAAGTAGGAACTAACTGTACTGACTTCTTTTCCTTGAAACATGCAATTATTTTAATGAGAACTTGCCCAAAAGCACTTTAAAAAGACTGTTTTCAAAGATGCATTACTGCAGATTTTAATTATTCAGACTAGGGAGTCTCATTAAAATGATTTTTTTTATTAAAGTAAAGTCAACTGATCAACTAATGCACTTTGTTTTCTTAAAAAAAAAAGGGAGCAGAAATTTGAAGTCACTTATTACTTAAGGTGCTGATTTTTTTAAGAGACAATAGTGTTTGCTTGTTTGTTATTTGCTCAGTAATTATTGACAGTTGAATGAAGTATAAGAATTCTAATACTTGTGTATTCTCTTTGAGTTGCAGCTATCTGATTTTTGCATGCGCTTGAGGAGTGGAAGAGTAATTGGTGATATAGAGGTAAACGGTAGCAACTCTGAGGTAAGTGTGTCTGAACCCAATTCTTTTAATAGCAAGTTTGTTGCTGAATCTGAGGATAGACCTGCCAATTTGCTTGCTGTTGATTTGTTTGATTCTTGTTCTGATAGCATCTTTGATAATCTTTTTGAAATAAAATCTGAACCAAAGATGACAACTTTAAGAGAATTGGCAGCCCCTAACCTAAATGTTCAACCGCTTTCCATCACATATGCTGAGCTAGAGAAACCTTTAAAGCTGAATTCTGGGTTTATAAATCTTTTGCCTAAATTTCATGGTCTTCCTGGAGAGGATCCCTTTAGGCACATCTCTGAATTTCTGATTACTTGCGGTGCTATGGTGCCTGAAGGGGTTGCTCAAGACCAAATTAGGTTGAGGGCTTTCCCGTTTTCTTTAGCTGATAAGGCAAAGGACTGGTTGTACTACATGCCAGCCGGTTCTTTCACTACTTGGAATGCGCTACACAAAGCATTTTTAGAAAAATATTTTCCAGCTTCTAGGATAGGTTCAATTAGGAAAGAAATATGTGGGATTAAACAAATGATTGGGGAGAATTTTTCTGAATATTGGGAAAGATTTAACAAACTTTGTGCCTCCTGTCCTCAACACCAAATCTCAGAACAACTTTTAATCCAATATTTTTATGAAGGGCTACTTCCTACTGAGAGGGGCAATGTGGATGCTGCCAGTGGGGGTGCCCTGGTTAATAAAACACCTGAACAAGCTAGGGAATTATTTAATTTGATTGCTCAGAACACCCAACAGTTTGGGACTAGGGAAACATTAGTGAAGAAAGTGAATGAAATTGGTAATTCTTTTATTGAAAACAAACTGACCAAACTTACCAATGCCATTTCACAACTTACAACTGTCGGAGGGGTTAAGGGAAAACCTTGTGGGGTTTGTTGCTTGGAAGGACACCGTACTGATGCTTGTCCGACCTTGCAACACCCCGAGGTAAATGCTGTTTTTTATAATAATAATCAAAGAAAATACGATCCTTTTTCTAATTCTTACAATGAGGGATGGAGAGACCACCCTAATCTCAGGTATGATAATGGGCAGAACTACTAGGCTCCTAGGGGTAATTTTTAGAATTTTAACAATCCATCACAACAGCCCTCTTATGATAAAAACACTCAACTTTTGGAACAGGTTCTTAAGAAAATGGATGACAAATTCTCTGGTTTTGACCAAACTCTTAAGCAAATGCAAGAAAAGCAATCTGCTACTGAAGTTACAGTGAGTAATTTGCAAGCCCAACTTAACAATAGGTTTCCTTCTCAACCATTTTTGAATCCTAAAGAGAATTTGAGTGCAATTGTGCTTCGAAATAAGAAAAAACTGCAGGAACCTAGTTTTGTCAGTAGGGAAGAAAGGGAGAAAGAACTTCATCCAAATCAAGTTTCTTTTGAAAATAATAATGCTGATTTTGTTGAAAATGAAATCACTCAGGTTGAAAAACAGAAAGAAATTGATTTTCAAAATAGAATCAATGAGTTTAAAAATCAAAAAGCCCCTTTTCCCAGTAAGTTTCTAAGTCAACAAACTAAGACAAAGGAGTTAGATCAAGAGATGTTAGAAACTTTTAAAAAAGTGGAAATAAATCTCCCTCTTTTAGAAGCAATCAGACAAGTTCCCAAGTATGCTAAATTTCTTAAAGAACTTTATACTCATAAAAATAAGCTTTTTGGGACTGAAAAGGTGTTGATGAGTGAGAATATTAGTGCTGTTTTTCAGAATAAATTACCCCAAAAATGTAAGGATCCTGGAGTTTTTACTGTTCCATGTCAGATAGGGAGTTTAAAATTTGACAAGGCAATGCTAGACTTAGGTTCTTCAATAAATGTGATGCCAAAGGATATTTTTGAACAACTCCACATTGGAGACCTAAAAAGAACAGGGGTAGTGATCCAACTAGCAGATAGGAGTCACATCTACACCGAGGGGATCTTTAGATGTCTTGGTTAGAGTAAATGACTTCATTTTTCCTGCTGATTTTTACAATCTAGATATGGGAGTTGATAAAACCGACATTCCCATTTTGTTGGGAAGACCGTTTTTGAAAACAGCCCGGGCTAAAATTGATGTTCACGGGGGTACTTTAACAATGGAGATTGATGGTGAGATAATTAAATTTAGTCTTTCTGAAGCAATGAAACACCCTCATGAAGAGAATCAAGTCTTTGCTATGGATGTAATTGATAAAATCACTGAAGAAGTTTTCAGTAAATCAAATGACGATGCTCTGTACACTGTTTTAATTGAAAGTTTAGACCCTTTTGAGATTGAAAAATTAAATTTTTCACTTCCTGATGATGTTTGCTTTTATGCTGAAAATTTGTCTTCTGTGGAAGAGGTTAAAACTGTTTTAAAACTGAATTTGGAGGTTCCTAAGACCAAACCACTTCCTTCTTTGATTTCTCCACCTAAAATTGAACTTAAAGAGTTGCCTCTTCATCTTAAATATGCTTTTTGGGTGAAAATGGAACACTTCCTGTGATCATATCAAATCTTTTAACTGAACCACAAGAATTAATGTTATTGAGAGTTTTAAAGGAACATAGTGAGGCCATAGGCTGGACTTTAGCAGACATTAAGGGTCTTGACCCAACTTTGTGTAGTCATAGGATAAGGCCCCGTTTTGTTCAACTTATTTTTTCTTATTTTTTCTTATTCTTATTAAAATCAGATCAGATCAGATCGAATCAGATCAGATCAGATCGAATCAAATCAGATCAGATCAGATCCAATCAGATCAGATCAGATCCAATCAGATCAGATCAGATCCAATCAGATCAGGACTTATTAAAATCAGATCCCATCAAAAATTATTATTATTATTATTATTCTTATTATCATCATCATCATCATGATTATTATTATTATTATTATTATTATTATTATTATTATTATTATTATTATTATTATTATTATTATTATTATTATTATTATTATTATTGTTCTTAAAAATGAAAAAGAATAAACTTTAGAAATATGTTAAATAGAAAACTGAGAAAGTAATCCTTAATTATTAGATGTCGGAAAAATTAGTTTTGAAATACATTGAAAATGTCAATCTAATTCTACTTTTAAAATATATTTTTATTGCTACTTGTAATTTGAGTTTCAAAACTTTTGATCTTTTATAAGGATGAAATATTTTAATAAAAATACTATCTCTTCTATATATTGATTATTTAAATTTAATTACTTTTTAATATATATCTAAATTAAATATTTATTCTAATGTATAATTCTAATTTTAAAAAAAAAATCATAAAATAAAAAATATTATTACATTATAATATGAATGATTATTCTAATATATTAATTAACTATTTTTATTTTATTAAAAAATAATAATTAAATAAAAAATATTGATTATATTATAATATAAATTATCATTACAATTTTCAAACGTTATTATAAAGTCAAATTAAATTATTGATATGAAATTTTAAATTAAATAATAATTAATCAGATCATATCAGATCCAATCAGATCAGATCAGATTCAATCAGATTAGATCAGATCAGATCCAATCAGATCAGATCAGATTCAATCAGATCAGATTAGATCAGATCAGAACTTATTAGAATCAGATCAGATCAGAAAAAATAAGTTGAACGGAACGGAGACTAAGTCTAGAACCTGATGCAAAACCAAGAGTTGAAAATCAAAGAAGACTTAATCCTCCTATGATGGAGGTAGTTTAGAAAGAACTTTTAAAATGGATTCAAGCAGGAGTCATATATCCCATAGCTAATTCGGAGTGGGTAAGTCCAATTCATGTCGTACCGAAAAAAGGGGGAGCTACTGTGGAATTAATTGAACAAGGTGAGTTGATTCCTGTTAGAAAACAAACTGGTTGGAGGGTGTGTATAGATTATAGGAAACTGAACAAAGCCACTATAAAAGACCATTTTCCGTTACCTTTTCTTGATTCTTTAGTTGAAAGACTAGCTGGAAAATCTCACTACTTCTTTTTAGATGGTTATTCTGGTTATATTCAAGTACCTGTTGCCCCGCAAGACCAAGATAAAACCACTTTTATATGCCCTTTTGGCACATTTGCTTTTAAAAGAATGCCTTTTGGCTTGTGTAATGCACCAGCTACTTTTCAAAGATGCATGATGAGCATATTTTCTGATTATTCAGCTAAAATAATGGAGGTTTTCATGGATGACTTTTCAGTATATGGAAATAATTTTGAAGAATGCTTGCATAATCTTACTTTGGTTTTAAAACGATGCATTGAGTCAAAATTGGTTTTATATTTTGAAAAGTGTCATTTTATGGTTGAAAGGGGAGTAGTTTTGGGACGTATTGTTTCTTCAAAAGGAATTGAAGTTGATCCAGCAAAAGTGGAAATTATTAAGGCTCTGCCCTAACCTAAAACTTTAAAAGAAATAAGATCTTTTCTTGGGCATGCTGGTTTTTATAGGAGATTTATCAAAGATTTTTCTAAAATAGCCCTTCCACTTACAAATCTTCTTTCAAAAGACACCCCATTCATTTTTGATGACGAATGTAAGCTGGCTTTTGATGTTTTAAAAGAAAAACTGATTTCAGCACCTATTGTTCAACCACCCAACTGGAAACTGCCTTTTGAATTGATGTGTGATGCTAGTGATAGGGCTGTGGGGGTTGTTTTAGGACAAAAATCAGGAAATCAGTCCCATGTTATATACTACGCTAGTTGCACTCTTGATTCTGCTCAAATAAACTATACAACAACTGAAAAAGAGATGTATGCTGTGGTATATGGCTTAGAAAAGTTTAAAATGTACTTACTGGGAGTCAAAGTAACNATTTACACTGACCATGCTGCCCTTAAATACTTAGTGAGTAAGAAAGATTCTAGGCAGAGGTTGTTAAGATGGGTGCTCTTACTGGAGGAGTTTACTTATGAAATAAAAGATAGGGCAGGAAGATTAAATCAAGTGGCTGACCACTTAAGTAGGATAAAACATGATAAAGAGAACTTAAATCCATTCACCGGGACCTTCCCTGATGAAAATCTGTTCTTTGCCTCATTTGTTCCTTGGTTTTCTGACTTGGTCAACTACATGGTAACCCACACGTTCCCACCCGGCATGCCTAGGCACTTAAGAGATCAAATTCAATCCCAAGCTAGGTTTTATATTTGCGATGACCCGTATTTGTGGAAGATGTGTTCTGACCAGATTATTAAGAGGTGCGTGGGGGATTGTGAAATTACTTCCATATTAAGTTTTTGCCATACATTAGAGAGTGGTGGTCATTTCGGCCCTAGAAGAACTGCTCATAAGGTGCTAGAAGCTGGTTTTTATTGGCCTACTATTTATAAAGATGCTTATGAATTCTTCAAAAATTGTTCAAGATGTCAAAAAACTGGAAATCTGTCCAGTAGGTCTCAAATGCCTTTGAATAATATCTATGTGAATTGTTTGATGTTTGGGGAATGGATTTCATGGGGCCTTTTCCTTCTTCTTTTGGCTTTAATTACATATTGCTTTTTGTGGATTGTCTTTCAAAATGGGTTGAAGCGGTTCCTACAAAGTTTGATAATGCTAAGACAGTAGCTAAACATGCCCAATCTCTGATCATAAATAGGTACGGAGTGCCTAAATTTTTTATAAGTGATAGAGGAACACACTTTTGCAATAAAACCTTGGAGATACTGTTTTCAAAATATCACATAACCCAAAGGATTTCCACACCTTATCACCCTCAAACTAATGGTCAAGCCGAAATATCTAATAGGGAAATTAAGCACATTTTGGAAAAAGTCGTTAAGCCTGATAGGAAGGATTGGAGTTTAAGGTTAGATGAGGCTTTGTGGGCATATAGGAAAGCTTGTAAAACACCAATAGGCATGTCACCTTATAGGCTGGTTTTTGGAAAAGCTTGTCATTTACCAGTTGAAATTGAACATAGGTCTTATTGGGCTGTTAGGGAAGTTAACTTAGACTATGATGCAGCTGGAAAAGAGAGAAAACTGCAACTTTCAGAGTTAGAAGAAATAAGACTTGAAGCTTATGACAACTCTGTAATTTATAAGGGTAAAGCTAAGACCTTTTACGATGCAAAACTCACTAGGAAACACTTTGACATAGGTGATAAAGTGCTGTTATATAACTCTAAATTGCATTTGTTTCCGGGCAAGTTAAGGTCTAGATGGCTCGGTCTCTTTGAAGTGTTAGAAACCTCTCCTCATGGGGCTGTGGTGATTAGAGATTTCGATACTAATAAGATTTTTAAAGTTAATGGGCATAGATTGAAGGTGTATCACCAAGGTGAACAGGTTGCTAAGGTCGAGGACATCTTCCTCGAGGATCCATAAAACAAGGCAGTAAAGTCTAGCCGGGACTACTAAACGGGGCAGCTTTCTGGGAGGCAACCCAGCACAAAAACAAAAAAAACAGGCATTTTAGTTACATTTACGTTTTCTTTTATATTCAGTTTTTTTCTTTTATTTTCTTTGCATACTCCTTGCATTTAGT